CTAAATATCTAAAATAACAAAATATTAAAAATATCTAAATAATTATATAACAAAATATTAATATTATGTAATAACCTTAAAATAATGAAAATTTTATATATTTTATATATTACTTAATTATTTAAATAAGTAGATATTTTAACTAACGAAATGTTTAACATAACTAGATATTAAATAGTTAAATAATGAAATTATGTAATAAATATAAAAAAATTTCTTAAAATTAGAAAAATAATTATAAATAGTTAATATTTTAAAATTTAAGTAATGATATTATTTAAATAACTAAATAATATTGCAAATAACTAATTTCACTTATATCAATTAGTAATTATAGAAAATAACTTTTAAAAAATTAAGTTTATTACTAATAATTTTAAAATCTTAATCTATACTTATTATATATTTATATATACTAAAATAAATACTTGTTGTATTTCAAGTAATTATTTTTATTTTGTGATAAATATATTTTCAATAATTGTGTATAAATCTATTTTTGTTTTGTTATTTAATAGAAAATTTCCAATAATTATTAGAGATTAAACTATTGTTATTTAACTTTTAAAGTTTAATTTATTGTACTTACTATATTTTTGTTATAATTTATTGATTAATATTTATTAGAGATTAAAGTGTTATTTGAGATTACAATATTTATTGACTAATTTAATATATTTTTAGTATTTTTTTGTAATTATTGTATTTTATTACCTATATATTTTCAATAACTGTGTATTTTCGCTATAAATTTTCAATAATTATTGGAGATTAAACTATTTTTATTTATTAGAGATTAGACTATGAATTTAGCTAAAATTAGGAGTGTTCACAAGTTGGTTCGATTCGATTGTAGGTTGTTTGGCCAACCAAATCGACTTTGTTAGGTTGGGGAGTTGGTCACCCGAAACTAGGTTGGGGAGTTGGCCAACCAAATATTGGATATACCCGAAACAAGGTATATCCAAATTCGATCCAATACTGTTAATTGTAGATCTTGAATATGAAACACATGGATCTGAATTTGAATCTGATGAGAAAGTTAGATTTTCGGATATAATTCAATCCAGTTTCATTTCAAAAAAAATTAATAAATTATTAAAATGAAAATAAAATATAACAATTTAAATAAAGAAAAACAAAATCTACATGTATCTCTTCAACTATTTTCATCATATACATACATGTTTTTATAAAAAAAATAATATAACAAATTTATAAAATAAATTATATATATATATATATATATATATATATATATATATATATCAGATCGAATCTTATCCAATCAGATAGGGGCCGAGTGATATGAATTTGATTCAATTTCTGATTAGATCCTATTATCTGATCCAATATGAAGATTCAAAATGGGGCTACCTGAATCCAAAAATATAAGATCAGACTTTGGATCGGATCATGATCTGACCCATTTGCACCCCTACCCATGACCAACTGACCATTACTGAAATCTGCCCAACTCAGGTTGTATCCGTTTGAGTCGATTTTCAGTTTGGTTAGTTAGTTCAAAAGATTTAAACTTAAAAAAGTGAAAATTAAATCCATGATATAAAATACCTTAGACTTGAAAATATGAGAATTTTTCCACTTTCTCGTATTAAAAAAAATATTATATATATATATATGGTCGGGTCGTTCAATTTTGGTCAATTTACAAATGGCCAAAGCAAAACTTATCTAACCTGGTCAAGTCGGGAATTTGTTGAACCAAAGCCAACTAGAAATACTAGAAAATCAACCAACTCGAGTCGAGTTGGTTGGTAGGGTTGTTCACGAGTCGGGTTGGGTCGCTTTACTGGCGTTTTTCCAACTGACCCGACTTGGTCGGTTTACCTAGAAATGAAACCAAAGCCGACCCTGTACTAAGTAAAACCGATCTGGTCGGTCTGAGTCAGTTTGGGTCGGTTTTGTGAATGATTCTCTCAGTGTGAATGATAAAGGATTCAAGTCTAAGAAGCGAATGTTGGATGCCTAGAAATTAAAAATGATTTGATGGATTAAAGCTGAAATTTTATATATAATATGTATATTTCTGAAATAAAGATGATATATATATATATATTTCCACAAATATATATTTGAAATATATATATAATATCTGAAATATATTATATATATAATATATCTAAGTCGGTTCGGGTCGGTTTGGTTTCGGTTTTCATGAACCATTGGTTTATGTTTTTTTTGTAACCCGAAACCGACTGGTGCTAAAGAAAAACCGGCCCACTCAGGTTGGATTGGACCAGGTTGGTCGGTTTAGTCGATTTGAGTCTTGTTATGAACAACCCTATTGGTTGGTTTCATCGATATGATGAACACTTATTGGCTACCACGTTTATGATACCAGTTGATTTGTCGAAAAATTTTCAGATATCATATCTTTTCTATATCATTATCGAATTCAAAATATAAATAATTATTAATTATTTAAAAATAAAAATATAAAACAATTGTGTACACTTATGTGTTTATATTATTTAGCTTTCGCTTTACAAATCTCGTGCATCGCACGGTCCCTGTTAGTATATATATTAAAAGAAGGAAGTCTAATAACTTTCCCATTCTTTTGAATTATTTATTTATTTTTTCTATTTCATTTTAAAACAACCAATGAGATGCTCTCCTTCCTCATAAAAAATTATCTAAAATCTCTCTCTCTCTCGTACGTTCCCTATAACCTAAATAATCTCCTCTCCTAAAATTTCTCTTAAACTACCCCCCCCCCCCATTCTCCTAAATTATCTCTAATTTCTATTTATCCTCTCCCTCGACTTTTTATCTATATCTATCTAAAGAAACTTTGAATCACAAAGTTTATGAATTATTTAAATATTCTAAATAAATTATATAATAAATTTAAAATATTTATTAAAAACAAAAAATAATTATGATAGATTTAATAATATTCATATTAATAATATTTTTATATTTTTACAAAATTATGTACTAAAATATAAATTATGATTTTCCCAATTATTCATTTTAAATATTGTTCAAATAAAAAAAATTTAGCATTAAAAAATAAAGTATAATTTAAATATTTCAATAACAAAATACTAAAAATAGCTAAATAATTATATAACAAAATAATTATGTAATAATTTTAAAATAAATAAAATTCAAATAAAAATTTAATTATTTTATATATTAACTAAATATTTTAAAATAAAAAATATTTAACATAACTAGATTTTAATTAAATAGATAAAATAACAAAATTGTATAGTAAATTAAAAAAAATCTTAAAAAGTAGAAAAATAATTACAGCATAATATTCAAATCAATAATAATTTAATATTTTACAAAAGTAATAATGAAATTATGTAATAATAGCATAAATTATAGTTTCATGGATTATTAACTTCTATAAATAATTAATGTTTTAAAATTTAAATAATTATATTATTTAAATAACTAAACAATATTGTAAATAACTAATTTCATTTATATCAATTAATAACTTTCAAAAAATTAATATTTACTAAGAATAATTTTAAAATCTTAATTTATATTTATTATATATATTTATATATACTAAAATTAATATTTATTGTATTCTTAGTAATTATTTATAGTTTTTTGTGATAAATATATCTTCAATAATTATGCATAAATCTATTTTTGTTTTGTTATTTAACATAAATTTTCAACAATTATTGGAGATTAAACTATTGTTATTTAACTTTTTAAATTTAATTTATTGTGCTTATTGTATTTAGGTTATAATTTATTGATTAATATTTATTAGACATTTAAACTATTATTTGAGATTATACTATTTATTGACTAATTTAATATATTTTTAGTATTAGTTGTATTTTGTAATTGTTGTTTTTTGTTAGTTATTTATTGTATTTTCATTATCAATATATTTCCAATAATTGTGTATTTTCGCTATAAAATTTCAATAATTATTGGAGATTAAACTATTGTTATTTATTAGAGATTAGACTATTAATTTAGCTGAAATTAGAAGTGTTAACATGTTGGTTCGGTTTGGTTGTAGGTTGTTTGGCAAACCAGATCGACCTGGTCAAATTTGGGAGTTGGTCACTTGAAACCGACTAACCATTAGTGAAAATTGGCCAACTAAGGTTGTATCAATTTGGATCAATTTTTGGTTTGTTTGGTTGGTTCAAAATATTTAAACTTAAAAAAATCAAATTTAAATTAAAAAAATTACAATGACATTATTAAATAATAAATTTTAAAATTAAGTTTATGTTGTAAAATATTTTATGCTAAGAAATATGGGAATTTACTTTCTCATATTAAAAAATTATATTTATAATATAATAATATATATATTTATTTATTTATAATTGGATAATTTGATTTTGGTTAGTGTACAAAAATAGCCAAAGCAAAACTAATCCAAAACCAATTGAAAATATTAGAAAACCAATCCATTCGAGTCGAATTAATTAATTTTATCAGTTTGATGAAAAAACCTGACTAAAATAAATTATTTTTATATTATAAAAAATATTAAAAATAATATATAAAATATAAATAATTATTAATTATTTAAAAAATTAAAAATTATAAAATAATCTCTCCACGGAAAAGACAAGATGGGACCATGAAATTACAGGTCCAATTGCTTTGTCTTTTCATGGGTTCCGGTTCCAGTTCCACCATGTCTGTAGAGCAATGCAAACAGACGCACTCAGTGGTTTACTAGCGTTTCTCCACCAAATTGCTCCACTTCTCCAAAGGCTAATGCTGAAATCGAATTTCTGGTCTGGAGACGAATGACAGGTAAAGTGCGTTAGGCCCCACAAATTTTGCCACCTGTCATATGCTTCAAGGCCACAACTGACAAGTGGCTTTTGGCGCTTTCTTTGTTCAAATGACCCAGAATTGGCCCAGGTCCACATGGAAATGGGGCTCAAACCGCACACTTGATCTTGATCCCGAACTCGGAAATCCGAACCGTTACAGTAAAATACAGTCAATGAATAATAAGATTGACGAGAGAAAATTAGAAAGATAGTAGTAACATGGCAATTAGTGGTGTGAAACAGCAAATGAGCAAAGAAACATTGCAGAGCCCCTGGCAGCCATTTAGGGTTCCAAAAACAATCTCTTTACTCTTCTATGTTCCTCTCTTAGTTACATTCATTGTTCATCCTCTCGGTTCTTACGCTCCAATCCAGAGTCAAAAGAAACCCCTAAACTTGAAATCTAACACAGAGAAGAACAACCGCAAACAAGAAGCAGAGAAAAAAAACATCAAGGATCAGGAATAACGAGCTTCTCCCCAGCATAAATAGTGTCCCTTGTGAACCCATTAGCTTCCTTGATCGCATCAATCGATACCTAATAACAGAAGAACAAAAGAAAAACTACAGTTTTAGATCCCGAAATAAAAACGAAATGCCATAAAAGAAATCTGGACTGGACAAAAGGGTGTACCCCATATTTCCGAGAGAGGCCCCAAAGAGTATCTCCCCTCGCAATCTCTATGGTTTGACACGACGACCATGGCAACTCTTGCTCCTGGGATCTCACCGGCTTCTTCCAGGAAACAGAAATGAAGAAAAAACAAACAAACAAACACATAAAGGTCATTTATAATGAGGAGATGAGCAAAATAACAGCAATAGAGCTATATCTCCTGTTTTCTGTAAATTTACCAACCTTGATGGGTTCTGGAGGAGGGGGACACTTGGATTCTAGAAATGGCGGAGTTGGCTCGCACGATTTGCTACTGCTACTGCTACTGATGCAGCTGCTGCTGATGTTGTTGTTGTTGAAAGGGTTGAGGGTTTTGAGAATACTAATGGCGATACCAGAGAACACCACGAATCCAGCAGCCTTGGCGACGGTGTTGTCTTTGTCGCTGTTTTTCTTTCCACGAGGGTCGCCGTGGCCTCCGGTCGGCATCGTATCAGTAGCTCTGCAGTCTTCGGAGTTGCGAGTTGGATTCTAGAGAAGAATCTACTCGGTGATATCGAGCAAACTCGATTTTTTCCTTTCTTCGATTACCGGACACTACAGTCTAGGCACATATCACGTGAGAGGGCTATCTTCTTGTCGGATCGTAGATTCGTAGTCATAGACGTCACGTGAGCCCGCCATCCATGAATGCATAAAAGAGTAGGTCCGAAAGGCCTGGGTGTCCGGCCCATGAATATGATCGCCGTTAGCCTTTAATGTTGATTTCTATTCTAAATACATTATCAGCATTTTAAGGATCGTTATTTGAAATTAATAAATTGACCTTAAGCGATTAGGGGCCGGCAAGTATTTTTCGATCTTTTTGGCAGAATTTAACCATTAAAAGATGATAGTGAGTTTTTGTATTAAGATCTTAATAGTTTAAAGATAGTTCGGTTAAGGTGCATTTGTTTGTATATTTTTTCGTGGGAAGATGAATTAAAAAAAAAAGTGAGGCTCCATTTGGCAATTAGATATTTTTGGGGTTATGGCTTTTGGTGGTTAAATTTTTTTCCAACCAAATGGGAAAAGACAAAAATGAGAGCTATTAGGCTTCTGAAAAAGCTGACAGCTCGTGCGAAAAGACACACCTAAAAAGCTAACAGCACCATTTTCTCTGATGAGTCAAAGAGCAAAAATTGAAATGAAGAGGTTATCCCTTGGCTAAAGTATAAAAGCAAAACAAAGGAATTTCACTTGTGAGTTGGTTACTTTTTTGCTTGATGGATGAAATGGGTATGTGTGGCTCTACTTATAGAGTTTTGCTACCGCTCAAGAGGGTATTTCCTTCGTAGTTAAGTATTTGGAAATTGAAGGTTCCATCAACCTTTGTTTTCCAATTTTAAGAGCTAGTTTACTATAAACGACTTTTAACTACCTCAATGCACTCCCTCTCTTAGGAGAGTCTTAGGTTGGTTTCTAGAACTCTTTTGCTAGCCAATATGCCAATTGAAGTTCTAGTCATCAACTAGGCTTGAGTGATTCATCTCATGCCACCGTTGAGTAGGGGTGTGGGTCTATTTTTGAAACCAAACCAGTATGACCGATTTCTGCCTTCATCGTAGATGAAGCAGTCCTTGCAGTTTGCTTTGTACTTCTCCACGAAGTAGGACCTCATACCAACATGAAGATATAAGCAGAAGTAGAAGCATGTGTAGCTTGACATCCAATAATGTCAAAATCTGTATACCCTATTACTTCTAATTCTCCTATGGACAGTGAGAATATAATCCTTAGTCCCTTGTAAACAGCACATGACTTTCTTCGCTACTTTCCAATTGTCCATACTAGGATTCTTTTGGTATATTCCACACATACCAACAATGCACATTATATTTGGGCATATCCACACTCGCACATACATAAACTTCCCATTGCTGATGCCATAGGGGATGTTGCGCATTATTCCTATTCTAACTGGTTCTTAGGGCATTGAAGTAAATTGAATTTGTCTCCTTTTACCACAAGGACAACAATGCTAGAACAATTTTGTGTGTTGAACCTTTTTAGCACCTTTTCTACATATACTTTTTGAAATAAACCTATAACACCATGAGACCAATCTTAGTAAATCTGAATGCTTAAAACATAAGAGGCTTTACGAAAATCTTTCATATCAAAATTATTTGATAAGAACATTTTAGTCTCATGTAACATTGCAAGATTGTTTCTAGTAAATAAGATATCATTAACATATAAGATCAAGATGATGTAACTGCTCCCACAAGCCATCAGGTATATATACTGGTCAACAATATTTTCCTTAAATCCATAATTACATAGAATATTATGGAATTTTAGGTACCAGTGGCAAAATGCCTACATCAGGCCGTAAATAGATTTCTTCAATTTACAAACTAAACTTTTCTTACAATCTACTTCAAAACCTTTTGGTTGTTGCATGTACACTTCCTCATGTAGGTCTCCATTTAGAAAGGTTGTCTTGACATCCATTTGATGTAATTTCATATTAAAATAATCAACTATGGCCATGATTGGAGAGAAGGGTTTTGTATAGTCTATTATTTTCTTTTAAGTGTATCCTTTTGCAATGAATCAGGATTTATATTTCTCAATGTTCCCCTTAGAGTCTTGTACTTTGGTTTTAAAAATTTATTTCCAACCCATTCACTTAACTCTTTCAAGTAGAAAAACAATACCCTAAACATCATTTTTATTCATGGATTACAATTCATCCTTCATGGATTCTAGCCAATGATTTTATTTCTTAGAGTTGATAACTTCAACAAATGATATAAGATCATTTTCAAAATTTAATTCCTATTCACAGTCATTTAAATAAACATCATAATCATTCAATATTACCGACCTTTGTATTCTTTTAAATCTTCTTAGTGGGATTTCTTCTATTGGCGTTGTATTTTCAATAATTTCATTATTTTGGATAGGTTATGTACTAGTTTGGTGGAGCCTGTGCTCTCTAAATATCGTGTCTTAACACCTATCAATTAGTTGAAAGATTTCCATCTTTTCTACATACTGGGGTTTAATTCCTATGTTCAAATCATCTTCCAAACAAACATATATAGAAATAAAACATGATTTGCTGTTAAAGTTTCTTGCCTGTTTTCTTGAGACATAAACTTTACTTTTTCCTTAGTTAAAACCCCATTCTATAATATATATTCTGAAAGAAAAGTTGGACACCCAGAATAGAAATTTTGATTTCCATACTTTCCACCATCCTAGCTTGTTCATTGATGCAAAGAGATGTCTTCGTAATAAAACTTGATAAGCAGATTTGATATAGTATGTGGTCACCTGAATTGGACTTTTTCCATAATATTTGATCACTATGATGCTTCCCCAATGGTGTAATTTGTAAAATGTGGAAAAATTCTTCATCTGTTATGACCTCTTTTAATCTTTGTACATCCCACTCTCCATTTTCCTCTTAAAAAAATCCTTCACTTTCATGCTACTACCATGGTTTAAACTGTTGATATACCCGCAAGGGTGTATTGATACTTTAAACAATGTACATTTTATTTTTTTAGTTTTTTTTTCAAAATTTCAATTTTATAGATGTTTTTGTATTATTTAATAAATAAAAGAAATGGTTTCTTGAAAACACCTTTAAATAGATGTATCGAAAACCCCATGATACAATATGATACACCCAATACGGGGTGTATTGTATTGATACTTTGAACCATGGCTACTACAATCCTTTCCTTTCTCTTTCCCCCTCTAACAAATGTTCTAGACCATGCAGTATGCATCCAAGGATCCCCAAACACAAATGGATTGACTCCCCATCTCCAACTTACTAACAGAAATGTTGTTTTAGTTCTACACTTAGGGGGTGTTCTTTTTTCGGATTTTGGGAGGGAGGGAAAGTTGGTCAATGGGATTTTGGTTCCCATCTCCAACTTACTAACAGAAATGTTGTTTTAGTTCTACACTTAGGGGGTGTTCTTTTTTCGGATTTTGGGAGGGAGGGAAAGTTGGTCAATGGGATTTTGGTTCCCATTGACCAAGAATCCCATGTTCATTTTTAGATTTATGTGGGGACCAGGGAAAGTTTATTTTCATGGGTATCACTTACCCGGGTAAGTGATGCTCATCTCCTAGGTGGGTAAATAATTTTTCCAGTTAAGGGGAAAGTTGCTAACACTTAAATGGGACAAAAATGCCCCTTTTAATAATGAATTTTTATGGCTAAAATGGTCATTACCCTATTTACCTAAGAAATAAAAGAACATGGGTAATTGCATTTACCTGGATAAGTGTTTCCTACAAAAAACTTATCCAGGTAATTGCATTTACCCAAATAAATAACTTACCAAAAAACGAACAGACCCTTAATTGTAACATTTGTTTCCACCAATGGGAATCATTTTTTTTTCTTACACTTAAATATCCTTCTCATATATCTAGATTTCACTACTTGAACTGAAAAAGCCTCATGTTCCTTTAATAATCTCCATATCTACTTGCCAAACAAGCCTTGTTCATTTCAAGTCCTCCATTTGCTTCACTTTGCAATAGATATTTGTTGTGTGAATCTTCTTAGTGCATTCTCATCATCTCCCCACCAAAAGTTTCTTTGTAACTACTCCATTAGTAATCTTTTTTTTTTCTTATTTTCGGCAGAAGTGTATAACCTGGAATTGCTTGTGCCATTGATTTATTTAATGTTGTTCTTTCCGCTTGTGACAATAATTTTTCTAGATTGAATTCTGTAAAAAATTTTGAGATATGAATTTAACAAAAAGTTCATTTGATAATGGTTGTCTTAGCTGAACTGAACTGCTTAATGATCTGCCTCTTAGGCTTAGTTTGGAAAGAGTACAAATATAAACATGTAGTGTAAATACATATGAAATAATACAAAAATCAAGGTTTTACATAGGCTTGTCAATGATACCGAAAAATCTATGGCCTGATTTGACATCCCATTTGATTATCTCAGATTCGGATGATGTGCTTATGTAATCGGATTGGATTTGGATTTGACTCCATTCGATCCAATTAAAATCCGAATACGATGTATTATAATATTTATTGATTTCAATATATAAATTTTATATAATTATATTTAAAACCAAAAAAGTTAATTTTGTATATTATATTATATATGAATCTATATATAATAAATTCAATATATTATATTTACATTAATTTACTATATATAAAAGTTGAAAAGTAATTAACTTTTAATTTTTTGTATTTTAAAAATAAGCGAAGTCAAATTAAATATGAATCCGATAATCTATTAGAATTCAGATTCAACTCCAAGTCTTCAAATCCGATCAAATTTTAAATTGGATTCAGACACAAAATTTCAATAATTTGATTTGATTCAGATTTTGCTACATCCTATCCAGCCGTAGTTTTGCACTCCATATACCAAAAATAAGGATTAATGAATGAGTAATTAAAATAAGTGCTTATGTTAAAAATAAGTGCTTAAAAACAAGTGCTTATTTTCATTTGACACCTAACCTTTTTAAATGCTTATTTAAAAAAAAATAAATAAGCACTTATTTCATATTGGGCATTTGGTACTTGATGGAGCGCGATCTAGATACTCCTAGTT